CGGGTGCGGGGCGTCGACGCGTTATGCATGCGAAGAGACGACGGGGCGCAGGGGGCCGGCCCTCCAGGGAGTTGCGGGGTGTGTCCGGGCGTATGCGCGAGGCGACTGCGCGAGGCGACTGTTCGGGAGCAGCGAGCAACGGGGGGGTGCGGGGGCGCATACAGTGTAGGATATGAGGTGAAAACGGGGGCGCTACGAGCCTATGAGGTGAGCGGCGGTGGCGTCGACAGCAGCGGCGGGGGGCGCGGCGGGGGGCGCGGCGGGGCCGGAGAGCGGAGCGGCGGGCGAGCGGCAACTACAGAGTGTTCTGTACTGTATGGTATGATATAAATATCATGATTTACGGCCTGCTCGCCCATGGCGTCCCCATGTCCTCTGCCGAGCGCGCAGGCGGGGAGATGCACGGGGCGTGTACCGGGACCGGGGTGTAAATTTATCGGCGGTGCACGTTGCGCGGCGTATGGTGCGTGCCGCGGTGGAAGAGTGGAACGCGCTCGCCCGCATTACAGACACGTCGCGGGGGAGGCACCGCGCCCGCCTTACAGCGGGCGCGGTGTATTCACGGTGTACACGGAGGACGACGTGGACAGTTGTACAGGGTGCATTACGTGCACACGTGCACACGTGCACACGTGTACACGCTTCTCTACTTGTCGCAACAGCGCAGTACCCTTCGAAGGGTAATTTACATACGTCACGACGGCGGCACGACGGCGGCACAACGTCAGAGTGTCGTAGCCGCGCGCGCCGGTTAGCGCACGTTACCATTACAGTACTGTAGCGGAATACAGCTACGGTACGGGACAAGTGAAGGCCGCCTGACGCGTCCGCTCTGCCGCACGTGTCCCGTCCGTACTGTACCTGTACCGTTGCCCTGTACCGTTGGTACAGTATACTGTACGCGCGCTGCGGGCCCGGGACGGTCGGGACGCCATTTACTGTACAGCACTTACTGTATGTACTACGTACAGTAAGTCGCACTAAACCGCAGTCAGTCACTATAAGTCGCCCTCAACCGCGCCGCCCCCGGCCCTATCAACATCCCCCGTACAAATTCACGGTCGCCCACCTCCCGATCACAAAACATCCCCATGTCCTGTGCGAATCACTGCCCGAATCACCCCCCCGTCCGCGCCGCCTGTCGCCGCGCATGCCCCTCCACCCGGGCTCTCTCACTTCCCCCGCGCGCCGCCCGCCGCGCATTCCCTCACCCCGCGCCAGCGCCGTTAC